CCGCCCGTCTGCACGCCCAGCACCTCCTGCAGCCGCCGTGTCCCAGGGCCCTGGTAATCCTGGCAGGGAGGGGGGGGGAGGGGGGGCAAGAGAGTGGCCGTCAGTGGGCAGGAGGGGCAGGGAGACACACACGGGGAAACAGAGGCACCAGAGAGAAAGTGGAAAGAGAAGCTAAGAAGAGTTGTGGGGTGGGTAGGAGAGATAGGGTAGATTGGGGAGGAAGGAAAAGACAGACAAGGGGGAGAGGAAGGAAGGGAAAGACACAAGGGAGAGGAAGCAGGGAGAGAGGGAGCCCCAAGTGTGAGAGAGTGAGGGGCCACCAGGGTAGGAGGAGCGGCAAAGGGCAGGGGCCGCACCTTCCTGAGTTCCTTTGTCCTCCGTAGGGTCCAGCCACCCCCAGGCAGCCGTTCAAAGTATTTGCGAGCCTTGGGTGCCTGGTCTAGCATGGGAGCTGGTGGGATGCCCAACACCTCCACAATCCGATTCATTTGGTCCACCTGTGAGCATGTGGGCAGTCAGGGTCATCAGGCCAGCCCGGCCTGCACCCCCTCCAACACAACCCCTCCTCAGGAGCACACCTCATTGGAGCCACTAAAAAGGGGCTCTCCGGTGTGCATCTCCACCAGGATGCAACCCAGGGACCACATGTCAATGGCCAGGTCATAGGGCGTGCCCAGGAGCACCTCGGGTGACCGGTAGAAGCGGCTCTGGATGTACTGGTAAATCTGAGGGAGGATAGAGGGCAATAGTCACCCCCACTGGCACCCCCAAAACTACAATAAGCCTTCTGCCTCAAACTGGGGATATGGTTGCTACAAACCCTGATGTTATCAGCACCAACTTTACAGGAGCCACTACCTCCACTTTACTCATCGGCCTCAGAGTCTGCTGGCCTAGTCTGATCCTGATCTCCATCTGTAGGCCTGACTCTGGGCCCCTCTTCGTCAGAGTTTGGCAGTCTTCAAACCTAGCCCTTCCTACCATCCCAATCCGACCCTTTTCATGCCACCATCATCATTAATTCAAATGACTGCTTACAGGAAGTTGCATAGCTGAAGCACCTTCCCCACCTTCCATCCCAGCTTTAAGAAGACTGGGTAAACAATCTTTAGCTAAGTGCCAACTAGGCTCAAAGCCAACCCAATTTCCCCTACCCACATCTGGCAGCCTCAAAACTGGCCCCACCCCCAGCCTTCACTCTTCCCTTTCTGACTGGGCAGTATATATATATATATCCTGTGGCTCTCTTCTTTACCTAAGCACTATCCCTTAGGCATCAGCCACTTCACTACCCCATCCAGCCTACTTCGGCCCCTTAATCTCTGGCTACCAGCTGGCTCCGCCCGGTCCCAGCCACACCCATACCCACACCACTAGTCCCACCCCTAGGGCGGGCCAGGCCCTACCCGCTGGCCAAGCTGGCAGGAACTGCCGAAGTCCACGATCTTGATGGCACTGCGCTTGGGGTTGCAGAGCAGGATGTTCTCAGGCTTGAGGTCGCAGTGAATGATGCTAAGCTCGGGCGTGGCCAGGAAGAGAAGCGCCGTGCAGAGCTGCTGCGCCAACTTCCGTGTCAGGTTCAGCGAGACACCCCGGAAATGCGTGTTGCGCAGGAGGTCATACAGGTTGTAGGAAAGCAGCTCGAACACCAGGCACAGGTGGTTCCGGAACATGAAGTGCCGCTTCAGGTGCACTGCCGGGAAGGAGGCCAAATAAGGGGGTGGGAAAAAAACCTGAGGCTCAGAGAAGGCCAGTGGTGGCCTGGGGTACGCAGGAATCAAGGAGAGGGCCGGAAGCAGATATGTGTCTCTGCTTCGAGCACTGGCCAAAGTGGCGTGCCCACAGGTACCAGCTGCTAGTCAGGTATTTTTATATGGTCTATAACTTGGATCATACCAAGAAAAAGACTGATTTTCTTAAGTGAATTCTTCCCGTCTCTTGTCAAACTGTCAGATAAACCAAGAGAAAGTTTCCATTTGATGCTGACAGGTCTGTACAGGCACAGATGAAGAGGGAGACAGGCCAGGCACCACTATTTTCCTTCAGCTAAGGAGGCTCACCAACGGTGTCTTTAATAAGATTCTATTCTGCCTCATTTAATTTTATAACATTGTTTTAGTCTCAATTCTTTTTTTTGTGTATGTGGCAGAGGTTACTCATTTTCCATTTACTGTGACGATTTATATTTAAAGAAACATACTATTTAAATCCTCTTGCTTTTTCTAAGAGGAACCAGTATAAACACGAGGGAAAAGGCTGGCATAGATGTGAAAAGTAAAGACTCTGGAGTCCACTGCCTGGTCAAATTACAGCTCTACTGAGTACACACTCTGTGACCTTATGCAATAATAGCACCTGAATGCCTTGCTTCTTCATCTCTAGGCTGTGGGCAATGATGCCCCTTCCGTGGCACTGTGGTGAGGCAGACAAGAGCTTATTTATGTAAAGTGCTTACAACAGAGCCTGACCCTTAGCACCTAATAAACTCTGACCAGCATTATCTTGTGAATAGGACAAAAATCATAAAAAGTGGCAGAAGAATCACTGAAGTCATGGGATTACAGACCAGACCCTGTCCTGAGGACACCAACCCCGTCCGATAGCAGGGGTGACCTGTCCCTAACAGTTCGTGCTGCCTCAGGGCTCACCGATGTAGTACTTCATCTCCGTGTCATGCTGGTTCATCAGCTCCAGCAGCCGCAGCTCAATCTGGGCCTGGTTCAGGAAGGCCTTTTTGTTCTTGATGATCTTGATGGCCACCAGTTCCTGGGTCTGATGATCATAGGCTTTCACCACCTGCAGGGGCAGGGTATGTCACAAAGTGAGGGGAAATGGGAGGTGAGGGAGGAAACAGAGCCAGGCACCACTGTTTTCCCTCCAGCTAAGGAGGTTCACCAATATCACTATTCAATATTACTAACAGGAATTCAAAATTGAGTGCTCACCAACAGTCAGGCACTAGTATGAACACTGGACATGAAATAACACAACCTCATGTGGAGAGTCCTGTTAATTGCAGATTTTTTTTTAAGAAATGAAACAGGCACAAGGAAAACCAAGTGACTGGGCTGGGTTGAATGGCCCAGCATAGAACTTGAAACCACTGAACCACTGACTGTGTGAACCAACATCAGTGGGTGCCCATATCCCCCAATCTCTGGATCTGGGTGGGTGGGGGCATCCCGCACCTGGCCAAAGGAGCCTTTGCCAATGAGGGAGTCAATCTCATAACGCTCCAGCCAGCGCTCGCCACTGCGCACTATGTAGTCATGGTTGTCATCGTCATAACCGTGGTTCAGGACCTTCTTCTCCTTCTTGGTGCTTGAGTCCTGAGGAGGAGCCTGCTGGGCCCGCCGCTTCTTCTTTGCATAGTAGACCTGCCCAGCCGGCCAGCCAGGAGATGAGGACTGGTGAGTGACCTGTGCCAGCAGCCAGGACCCCTCAGCACCCAGCTGGGTCCCCCACCCCCTGCCTACCTCATTGATGTGCTTGTAGGTCTTGATGAGGTCCACGGAGAGCTTGCGCAACGGGGCCGTGGTTGCATCCCGGAAGGCCAGGGGAAGCCTCCTCGGCAAGAGCCGCACGTTAGGCAATACCTGCTGGACAGGGTGAGAGGTGGGCACTGAGGACAGACCTTTCCCTCCAACCTCAAGGGGGAGAACTAATGGGTGGCTGGCTCATCACTACTGTGTGCCTATTTATTTGGTCATTTTCTGACAACCCCATGAGCAGAAAAAGTCCCCAAGAGCAGAGGCTATGTCTTATTCTTGCTGTGTATCTTCAGTGCCTGGAGCAGGGCCTGGTATGTAGTGGATAATAATAATTATTATTTTTTAAATATATTTTTATTGACTTCAGAGAGAAAAGGAGAGGGAGAGAGAGATAGAAACACCAATGATGAGAGAGAATCATTGATTGGCTGCCTCCTGCATGCCCCCAACTGGGGATCAAGCCTGCAACCCCGGCACGTGTCCTTGACCAGAATTGAACTGGGGACCCTTCAGGCTGTAGGCTGACACTCTATCCACTGAGTCAAACCAGCTAGGGCTGTAGTGGATAATTATTAAAGATTGGCTGAGTGTTCCTTTCTGAACCTCAGTGGGAGAGATCATACAAAAAACTTAGGCTCTGCCCCTCCCAACCCTTCGCCTGAGACCATCCATCTGGGTATCCCATCTTAAGGGTTCCCATCTTGCTTCACCCTTATCCCTTAGGGCCTTTCCAATGCTCACCCCCTGCCCCCTATGTGAGCACCTTTGTCCAGTTATTTCACTTCAAGAGTCCTGGATCTGGATCCAGCACCCTGGATCTCCCACTCCAAGCTCTACATTTCAGAACCTTAACTGTCTCTATCCCTGGAGATCTATACCCTGTACCCTAGGCCCTGCAGACTCCAAGACCCTCCAGGCTCAACTTTCCTCCCCTTTCACTCCCTCCAGATCTTTCACTCTGGACTTTTTCTTAGTGAACATTTATTGCTTACTATGTGCCACGCACTGTCCTCAGCACTTTATATGTATTTCATTAACTGGTTTAATCCTCACAACAACCCTGTGGGGTAGATAACATTATTGGCCCCATTTTACAGAATAGAATACTAAAGCATGGAGAACCTAGTAATTTTACCTATTTTAACCCAGGCCCTCAAAACCCTGACTCTGCCAGCAACTTTTCTATTATATTCAACTTCCATGGGGCTCTTCATGCCCCTGAGAGACTGTCCTGGATAACCACACTATCTTTGGCCCCAAGATCCTTCTGTTCCCAGCCTCCCTCTACCCTAGGCAGGCGAGGAGCCAGCTGATCACATACCTGTGTGTGTTCCTGGGGCCCTGGGAAGCCAGAGAAGGGACCATGGCCCGGTGGGACGGCCATGGTGGGCTCAGAGGGCCGCAGGGGAGCGAGGCCTGGAGCGGGAGCCCGGCCGGGGGGCGCCTTCTCGCATCCTGCACCTCGGCTGCCACCGCCGCTGAGACCTGAGAGCAGGCGGTAGGCAGGGGAACAACATGGAAGGGGATGTGTGGGAGAATGCCAGGCAGGAAAGGGGTGGACATCAGAAAGAAGGCAAGGCACAGAGGGTGGAGGAAAAGTGCAACAGAGCAACAGGTGGGAATGAAGAGGGGACAGACAGAAGTGGTGAGGGGGAGGGGAAAGAAGGCACAGCAGAGTCCCTCAACAAATGATTACCAAATAAATGAGGTGGGCAGCACAAATGGGCACATGTGAAAGGGAGTGATTGGGAGTCAGGCAGGAATATGGGCCAGGACAGAAAAGGACAGAAAGACACCAATAATTGGAGGAAGGAAGAAAACAGAAATCACAGACAGTATGGGGAGTAGGGTTCACTCTTTTCTTCCCATTTCCACTTGTAACCCTCCCCAGGACGCCCTCACACAAGATCCTGAACCCCTGCCCTCTCCCCTGAATATTGGGATCTCATCTTACCAAAGCAAGGTTCATCTGTTTCAAGATCTACCCTTCCCTGCAGATCCCCCAAACCACATTAGAGTCCTCTAGGCCCCACCAAACCATAGCAAAGTCCTCTGTAAGCCTCTAAAACCACACCAGGGTCTTTGGGGACCTCCTGATCACAGTTATCTGAAAACTCCTATATGAGTCCTACTCCTGTGGCATTCTGGTCCACCAGGGCACACCCTACCTGAGGGATCTCCCCCCCCCCCATATTATGCCAAGACCTCTTCCCTATATCATTCTCCCACCTCAGGAGCCACTGCTCCAGCTAGTTTGTCCGTACCATATCCCACTCCCCAGTATTGTGCCAAGGTACCCCTTCCAATCAAGGCCCACTCCTCCTGATGGGGGCAAAGGGATGTGTCTCTTCTCACGACTAGTGATCGTCCTTCTCTTCCCTATGCTGGAGTCTGCCCACCTCCTCCCAATCCAGTATTCCCACCAGGCCCTTTCTCCAGTGACTCTTCTGTCCACTGGAGTCAATCCACAACTGCCCATTCCTAGAAGGCCCCATAGCCAAATCCCCCAAATATCACAGAATTCTTCCCTATCTGCCACCCCCAAATCCCTCATATCAGTCGCTTTCTCCTATGCCAAGCCTTGCCACCCCACGACCCCATCTCTCTTGGAGCTCCCCCCGCCCCAACACACACACCCCAAACTCTTTCCTGGGGCCCTCCCACACCAGGATCGTCTCTCCCAGCCACCACCCCCTACCCGGGTCAGGGCTGGTGCGGGGCCCACGGGAGGCTGGGGCGCGGTGGGGCCCCCAGTGGGGTGGGCGAGCAGCCAGCATGGCGGCGGTGGCGGCGGTGAGGAGACAGCCGCCTGTCCCGGGCCAGCGGGCTCCGGCAAGCCCTACCGCAGGGAGGGCAAGCGGGACAGGCGGCCGGTGGGTGACAACAGCAGCCGCTGCGGGGGGAGGAGGGAAGAGGAGGGGACAGGGACGAGGGTCAATCCGGGGCACACAGGGAAGGGAAAGGCAGGTGGACGGGGGAGGGGCGGGGTAACCCTCGACCGGCCGGCCCCGCCCCACGCAGCCACCGGCCCCCAGGGACACAGGCGTCTGGCCTCCCATTTTGGAGGGCCGCCAGGGCCAGCGGGCAGGCCTGAACTTGGCAGTCCACACCTGCCATGGCAACAACCGTGCCATTGGTCGCTGGGCCCAAGAGCTCAACCAATCACAGCTCGGGGCGGTTGTTGCTAGGCGACAATGATGCAGCGGGCAGAGCCGAGCCCAAACAAAGGGCGGGAGCGGGACCCCAGAACCCCTTCCCAAGACAACTCTCTCGGGCTATGCCCTTCCAGGAATCCAACTATGAATAGTTAGGCATGGCCTACACCTGCCCGCCGCCCCACTCCTCTCCTCCCTGCGCCTCCTAAATCTCCCAGCGACAGGGGGAGGGCGGAGCGCGAGCCGCGCCCCATCTGTAGCCACTTCGTTACCTGAGAACGCAGGCAAGGGGACTCAAACTGCTCGGGAAGCCCGAGCTCAGGCCTGCCCACTGGCTGAAGATATCCGGTGGACGCAGCGAAGCAGGGCCCCGATTACCCAGTAATGCAACCAGCAAAATGGCAACCACAACAAACCGGTACTGCGCCTGCTCAGCGGAGCTTACCAGCACACATGCGCAGTGAGCTCCGCTCAAGCTCCAAAATCCGGGCTAGGGTGGCGCAAGAGGCAGCTAAGAAAGGAGCATGCGCTGTGTGATCCACTGAGACTGTCCACCACCCACCACCACCACCACCACCACCACCACGCAAGTTAACTAAGGGCGCATTCCGCCCTGTTGTCAATAGAAGTCGCCAAGCAATCAGCAGCAGACCCAGACCGGAAGGACGGATTAGTCTTTTAATAGAAAAACACACGTGTAACAGTAGCAACACAATCTCTAGCAATCCAGATGAAGAGCCAGCCTTCAGTTCTTCACCTTGGGGGGCGGCCTGTGAGAGGGAGATGAGAGGCATCAGAGCTTGTCACCACTTTAGGGGCACTCCTAACAAGTATTGAACCGTGTGGCTCTGGGGTGCAGGGGCCAGAGACATCTGTCCTGGTGGAATACAGGGCCCCCTGCTCACCTGTACACACCCACGACCACAGCGTGGTCTCTTTCATATGGCTCTAGAGTCAACTGCTCCTGGGGCTTCATGTTTTCCTGTTGCATTTTTTTCACTTCAGAGGCAAATACTGCCTCGGCAGATGCTGTGGAGTCAATGCAGTTAGCCTACAGAGGAGAGAGGATTTGAAGTCTGCAGCAAGTCTTTGAGCTATTTACCCTTTTCTGTGCTCTTTAAATTAGAAGTACTTGTTTTTACTGGAAATGGTGAAACTCGAGTTTTGGAAATTTTCAATTTGGTCTGGATTTGGAACAGTTAGCTTTCAACAGAGTCCTATCATCTAAAAGCCAGTGTTTAAATTTTACACTCAGGGCTTTTCCCCCCTTCTGCTTCCTCTTTGACAATAATAATGCAGCTGAGAATATGAAAATAAATGTACCAAAAGGCTAACAAAATGGTGAATCTGGTTGAAAGGCACATGGCAGAATTCTCTGTATTTCAAAGTAAAATGTTTTTTAAAGTGCAACTAGCATTTATCTAGTATTTATTCTACACCAGGCCGTTCTAAACACTTCACATATATTAATTCTTACATAGACACTAAAAAATTGGACTAATACTTCTATTTTACACACATAGTATTTTCATTTTACAAGCACACAGATTAAGTAACTTGTTCAAAGTTACACAGCGAGCTGGAATTCAAGCTCAAATTGTCAGACTCAAGGATCATGCACTTGACCACTACGTCCTATTGCCTCTTTAAACCCAAAGATGCTAGTTTTGCAGACATTACTCATCATGTGATATTTGACTGGGGCCAGGGAATGGCTTGTAGGGAGCTGTGTGGGAATAAAGGCTGAGAATAGACTGACTGGATTAGGGGGGGGATGAAGGCTCCCTTGTTTTGACTGGCTACTTGGCAGTTAATGATAGAGAAAATACTTAGACTCCTCCAAGACCCGCACCTTAATGGAAATCACAAAGTGTCCTCCATTACGTAGGAAGGTGTGGGCATTCAGGGCTACAATCCGGGTCTGGTCTGGCTGGGCCACATCGGCAAAGATCACATCCACCATTGCTAGGGAGAAGGAAGTGGCAGTTAAAAGCTGGGTCTGCTGATCTTCCCAGCTCCTCCCAGGGGGCCTGCAGACTCCTGGCAGTCTTCCCTGCTTCCAGTCTCACTTCCCCCCACTGATTCCCCCTCCCTCCACGATGCCCCCAAGATGGGTCCAAAACCCAGTCACATTATTCGTTCACGCCTCTTGTAACCCATGGTTGCCACCTACTCTGTGGCCAGCCCCGGACCGGACATGGGGGACAGAGAGACCAGTCACAC